AATTTTTTTGTTCATTTTTATTTGTATCATTTTATTATACAGAATTTAATCTTAATTGTAGTACATTTTTTGATAAAAATAATTCTTTATTAAATAGTAATTAGTAAAGTATTATTCGCTTGAAAATTTTGAAATAACAATGTTGTTATATTAATAGTAATTAATTATTATTCTATTAATAATAGCGTTGTAATTTCATTAAAAATTTTGCAAACAATATAACTTACAGGAATAATAGTAATTAGTAAAGTATAATTAATTTAATAATTTTGAAATAATAATAATATTGTTATATTAATAGTAATTAATTATTACTATTATATTATTAATACCATTGTAATTTCATCAAAACTTTTTGCAAATAATATATAAAATGATAAATTGATAAAAGTTCTAAAATCTATCAAACAATTTTACCAGTTCTTTTCTTTTTGTTGCTTCATATAACAACCATTCTGCTTCATCGGATAAATCGATTTCATTAGCACCACATTCAATTAATAATTTAATTAAAAGATAATTACGAGATTTCACTGCTCTTTGCAACGGTTTATTCCTTTTTTTATCTTCAATATTCGGATCAGCTCCCTGAAAAAAAAGAAATTATTTAACAAATTAATTTTACGATATTATATCTTAATTAAAATGTGAAAAAATGATCAGAAAAATTTTTCGACAGATTTTTTCCAATCATTTCAACTTTTAAATAATTATTGTTTAAATTATGAAGAGGTATGATAATGAATTAAAAGTGTTTCGCTCATTAAAATATAACAATTAATGTAATTATTTCATTAATAGGTAAATGAAATTAAAATTAACAAATCATACCATTTTGTAGAAATACCGACAAATTTTTTCAAATCATTTCAACGTTCAAAAAATTATTGCTTAATTTATGAAAAGGTTTGATAATGAATGAAAAGATTCCGTTCATTAAAATATTACAATTAATTTAATTACTTCATTAATAAGTAAACGAAATTAAAATTAACAAATCATACCATCCTAAAGAGATATTTTGCTAATTCACAAATTTTATCGTAGTTTTTTGATTGATCGTTGCATAATAACATTAGCGGAGTTCGACCATCGGAAATCCGCAAATTTACGTCATATTTTTCTTCAAATAAATCAATAAATCAATGAACATTAACCTGACATTTTAAGATAAAATTTGAAAAGAGAATTTCATTATTAAATTCGAATTGAAAAATTAATTTGAAATATAATTTTATAAATTGAAAAAGCTAAAATGGCTAACCTGATATTATTTGCAAAAGAAAATGGTAAAGAAATTTTTTAAAACGAATTACTTGCAAAAATAAGAACAAAAATGCCAATGTTTATACTTAGAGGTATGAAAATGAATTATTAATTTCAATCAAATAATAAAACAATAAATTTATCAAAAAAAAGAAAAATTAAGAAACTAATTTATTTTATAGTTTAATTAAATTATTTGATAAAACATTTTCAATATAGTTAATATTATATAAGTATCATTATTATTATTATTATCATTATTATTTATTAATAGTTATCAATTCAACTATTTTACTCTTACCAGTTTCAATTAGAATTTTGCAATCAGTTAAGGATAAATAATGAACAGCTTGATGAAGTGGTGACCAGGCTATTGATTTATCAGTAATAGATAGTTGTGACATATCGCTTACACTTGCTCTTACTGACATATCGCTTTCATTATCATTAATACGTTCTGTTTTGGAATTTAAATATTGTCCGGATGTGCGAATTATCTTTCTATAGTTATGAAAATCCATTATGAACTATAAAATAAAGAAAATTATGGTAATTTGCTGAATGGAAGAAAAGAAATATAATTAATAATTTCATTTTTAATTTTTATTGAATAAAAAAATTTTTTTAAAAATGAAATTTAAAATATATTTTTTAAGGATATTTCTGTTTTCTAATTTACTAAATGAGAAAAGAAAGAAAAATTAATTTGAAATGCTTTAATTTGAAATTAAATAAAGAAATTTTAATTAGAAATTAAAAAAAGAAATTTTAATTTGAAATTAAATAAAGAAATTTTAATTTGAAATTAAATAAAGAAATTTTAATTTGAAATTAAATAAAGAAATTTTAATTTGAAATTAAATAAGAAAATTTTGCGTGAAATATAAATTTCTTTCTAATAATTATTTCGAACATTTTTTTTTTGCTATTAATTAAAAAATTTTTTGTTTCTTAAAATACTTTATTCTTAAAAAATTTGTACTGAAAAACAATTATTTTTAATATTAATATTCTTTTGTCTTAAAATATTTATTTATAAAATATTTGTATTGATAATATGATAACAAATAAATTAGTTATCAATGAATTGTTTCATAAAAAAAATTGAGAAGAAAATTGGAATGATCGTAAAGAGAGCGACCATCTCAAAAAATAAGCAAATCAATACACTGATGATACATATCCTTACAGCTTATTGAAGGGAAAATTTGAGGTCAAGAGCAATAAAAGTGACCTTGCCGCTCACTAAAAAAAATGACCGTTAAAATTGGAAGTAAGCATTTGACAAAAGCAAATATGGGATTTGTAGTGAGTTGACCTCTGCCATTTATATGATTTACTAGCAGATCGTCGAAGAAATATTATGTATGTTATGGGCAAAGAAAATGATTATATTAAGTTAACCTCAAAAAGTATCTCACAGTAAAACTCATAGCAAAACGAATGAACTTTTGATATAATATAAAATTTTAATTTTTTTAAGGTGATATGTAATTAAAACTGTCAAGTGATATTACGTGTAAATGTGTAAGTTCACGTAACCGTAAATTAGTTCACGTAAAATATCTCACGATAATTTAGTAAAAGGAAAAAAGAGTCATTTAAATTGTTTACGTAAATAAAAAATAGCAAATAATTAATAACATTTTAATTCAACTCTTGTTTTTGGTGTTTTAATTTTATCATTTTATTGCATTTTATATTTTAGGCCTTACTTTACCTTCTTCTTTATTATGCTCGTGCTTCTTTTCATGATATCATTTTTATCACTTTTTCACGATATTACTTTTTATCACTTTTTTACAATATCACGATATCACTTCTTCGTGTTACTTATTTTTCAACATATCAGCATCCTACTGCTTTATTCATTTTCAAATCGTTTAAATCATTTCACTTTTGAAATTTTCATATTTATTGATTTTCAACAGTTTCCATTTCAAAATCATTGATCCATTCTGCTTCTTCTTTTTCAATCAATAAATTAAGCAGTAAAATTGATCAATAAATTAATCGATAAATTCATTTATTAAATTAGTCCATAAACTTTACTTAAAAAGTGAGATTATTGTTGTACGATGGAAATGAGTGAGAATGGATTAGACGATTAGACGAAGTAATTATTTCATTATCGAATTTTCATTTATGATATATTTCAAATTTATTTTTTCTTCTTCTTCTGCTCCCTTTAATATCCCTATTATTTACTTTAATTAATTTTTTAGATTCATTATATCTACCTAATTCTTTAATTTAATTATTAAATTCAATAATTAAATGATAAAAACTTCTTCGATATATTTCAATGAATTTATTGACAATATTGACATAATTTTTCTATTTCAAATTTTAATTAATCAAAAAAAATTCGGTGAAATGATTTTTTAAAATAGAACTGATAATGAATTATCAGTTTGAATTGTTATTTAATAATAATAAATTAGCTGAATAATCTTTCCTTTAATTCATACATATTATCATTTATCACTTTTCTCATTCATGCATATTATCACTTATTACTTATCATACTATTCTAATTTTCAATATCTTTTTTTTCGATGAACTTATTTATCTCTAAATTATCAAATTAACCAATGAATTATCAGCAGTTTTTTTTCTGATTATCGCTTATCACTTATTACGCTATTATAATTTTCAATATCTTTTTTCTTCGATGAACTTATTTATCGTTAAATTATCAAATTATCCAATGAATTATTAGTTTTCTTTCCGTTAAATAATCTTTCTTTAAATTTATATATATTATCATTTATCACTTTTTACATTCATTCATATTATCACCTATCACTTATCATGTTATTATAACTTTCAATATCTTTCGTTTTTTTTTTCCGATGAATTTATTTACCTCTAAATTATCAAATTAACTAATGAATTTTATCAGTTATCTTTTTTTTGAAATTTTAATGTTACCTAATCTTCTTTAAAGTATTTAATATAATTGTTTTAAATTAAGTTTTTTATTTGAAAAAATTTTTTTAATTATTCGAAGATATTTGCATATTTTCATTATCTCATAAAAATGCAACATCTTTTCATCAAATATTTTGCAAAATAAAAATAAAGATATTTCATTTCTCATCTTTGTTTTGTGAGGTCATTGTTTGAGTTTTGAACGATCGCTTTCGGTGGTATTCTTATGGTAATGTTAGATATCAATTGATAATAAGTAATTGATAATAATTATCATAACATCTCATTATTGTTAGTATTATTAGCGGATATCCATTTTTTTTTCTTCCTTGTCATTGTTTGAATTTTGAATGATCGCTTTCGGTAGTATTCTTGCGGCAATGTTAGATATCAATTGATAATAAGTAATTGATAATAATAATAATCATATCATCTCATTATTGACAGTAATATTAGCGGATATCCATTTTTTTTTCCTTTCTTGTTTTGAGAGATTATTTGAGTTTTGAACGATCGCTTTCGGTGGTATTCTTATGGCAATATTAGGTATCAGTTAATAATAATATTGATAATCAATTAATAATATTGATAATAACAATCATATCGTCTCATTATTGATAGTATTATTAGCGGATATCCATTTTTTTTTTTCCTTCGTTGTTTTGAGAGGTCATTGTTTGAGCTTTGAACGATCGCTTTCGGTAGTATTCTTGCGGCAATGTTAGGTATCAATTGATAATAATAATCATATCATCTCATTATTGACAGTATTATTAGTGGATATAGAGGTTTGTTGTTTGTGAAAAAAACCACGTTTCATCATATTTGGTCATATGCCAACGATACCGATTTTTTATTGATTATTGATTATTAGCGCGGTTTTTTTCTCTTTGGTAATATTATTTTATGATAATAATTATATCAATAAAACAAAAATTATTATTGATAATGTTGATAAATGATATGAAGTAGAAAATTAATAATCCATTTATTGATTATTTGATAAGAAATTAAGTTAAATTTTTAAAAATTTATATTTTTGATAATTTAGTTTAAACTTGGGGATTATATCAAATATCTTTGAGTTGATGAGAAAATTGGCGAAGCGATAACGAGAAGTGTGATGGAGTTAAATACAAATGGTTGTTTGCAATCGGCTCATTTGAAAGTCATTTTAAACGATTGTGATGTGACGCTTGTAAATATACTAATGGAATCTTTATCGGTAATTAATTTTATTCATTTATTAATAATTATTTATCATTTTATTACTGGTATTTTATCAGTAACTTTTTATCACTTATCATTTGATATTAATTGATTATTTTAGCAAATTTATATTTTGCATTTATTTCGTTTGTTGCTTTTGATATTATCTAAGTATTTAGATATTTAATGTATCATTATGCATTTTTTTTATGTGATAAGATAACATATGGAAAATTGGATATAATATGTAAACAATAAAGTTAACAATAGAATAATGAATAACAATATTAATAGAACAATAGAGAATAATTTATATAACAATAGAACAATAGAATAATTTATGTAACAATAGAACAATAAAACAATAGAATAATTTATGCTCTTTTCTAATTTCAAAAAAATGTAGAAAAAATGAATTCAACTTTTCCTTTTTTCCTTTAATTTATTAAATTTCGATTTGGCTGTTTGTTAGCTCATTCACTCTTACCTGTCTTCTCAGTTTATTCACTCTTACCTGTATTCTGGAAGTAATAATAAGTCATGGGAAATTAAATTTGCAAAATGTATAAAATTAGAAAGGGATTCATTTAATATGGTAAATTTTGATTAAATTAAATAATGATAAGATGTGATAAAAAGTAACTGATTGTAGATATATATTTTATGTATAATCGTATTATCATAATGGAAATATTATCTTATTACATAGATAAGTTAACGATGATAAGTTAATAATGATAAAAAGTGACATATATTTTAAGCAACAATTAGAATGGAATGATTTATATGGGAAGAGAATTGAAATATGTGGAGCAATAACTCAACGACATATGGGTGATAATGATTATGGTGAACCATGGACTGAGCTTAGTTTAGAGGTTAAATTTATTTTTATTAAATAAAATTTTGCTTGTTTGAAATTCTCGAATGATTTGTATATTTTGAGGCGAAAACTTTTTGTTAACCCGTTTCTTTAGATTTTTCCGATTTTCATTGAATTAATAAAATTTAGGTTCAATTTTTTAGGTCATGTCTAGGCATTGGAATCTTGATTTACTTCCACTTGCGATGAGATTTCAGTTAATCACACAGAATCTTCAATTTACTGGTCCATGTAGTGCTATATTACAAATTACAAATAAACAAATCTTCTTGGAGGATTGTATGTAAGTTTAAATATTTTTATATTTATTAATCAGTATAGCTAAAATTTGATTGTTTAAGCATAAAGCTGTCATCTTAAAAGTGATAGAGCAAAGTAAAAGAGCCAGATGGGAAAGATTATAGTTGTCTTAAAATGGTATCATTTGCATTCTTAAATGATTTAGCTAATTAGCATTAAGTATGAAATATTGTATGAATTTACAATTTGCATTAAAATTAATCTTTTAGAGCAGCACATATGTTTATACCTTTGGAAGCATTTCATTTTGGCAGCTTATTCAAAGGACTATTTTTATCTCATTTTTCTCGTGCAGCATATATTGGAACACCATTGGAACAATTACAAAGTTTACAAGTTTTACGTATTCTACGAAATTGTCCAACACTTATTGATCCGATGTTTGTAGATTTTGAGCATGATCGTGATATTTTTATCGTTCGATTTGCTATTTTAGATGGTATGTGTATAAATATTGTTTTGATTTATTTTCTTAATTCTTAATAATTTTGAAAATCTTCAACTATATCGCGTTATTCGATTAATCGATCCAATTAATTAATTTTAGGTGGATTTCGGCCAAGAAATAATGACAATGGTAAAATTCCATGTACTTCTACTATTCCTGGTTCATCAATTGCTTTAAAGGTGTTTATATTTGTGATTTTCTAAATTCTCATTTTTTAAAAGCATTACTTAAATTCTTTGCGACAAAATTTTTTTCTTCTTTTGATGAAAATTGTAGTCGAATAAATTAAGCAACACTTTTAAATAAGCTGATTAAATGATAGGTACGGTATAGTTCTATTCGTCGTATTCTGATTGATTTACGAGCTGAATTACCGAACGGTACTTATGGTAGACGAATCTATTTCCATTTAAATTATCCACCGGAAATACGGAAGTATCAAAAAAAAACGGATGAAGATGATGATAGAGGAGGTAGTGATGGAAATCGATGGAGGTAAAAGTATTTCAAAGCATTCAAAAAATATTTAAACATTCGATGTAATGTTCATATTTTTGAAAATGGATTAATATTAGTCTTTCATAGCGGATTCCTAAGATTAATCTCTGTTTATTTACATCGATATCTATTCCAGTTAGGGAGCCAATTAAAGCAACCGAATTAAGGAATTAATTATTACCGTGATATTTTGAATGCCAACTTTGTTCTTAAAATGATTGTGTATTCTTTTTCAGGACAATTCCAGAAAGTAATGATGACAGACGAGATAATTGTGCAGCTATCAACGAAAGCCCATATTTTTGCTTGCAATTACAACAACATATTCCTGTAATTTTGAAACGTTACTTTTTATAAGAAGCATGTACATCTGTATGTATACACCTATACAGTTTTATATTTATTCAATTTTATATATATGCATACATATAATATAGATTTATACATTACAGTTTCTAAAACTCAAAAATATTTCTTCATTATGCCACGTTAGTTTCAAGTATCAGCAGTGGTGCATTGCCTAACTTTAAACATCATTTATTATATTTTATTAAGTTTTATAAATTTTATCTAAGTTTTAGTTTTATTTTTGGCATTCAATGATCACTAAGCATATTTTTAAGGATCATATCTTGTATCAGTTACTTAGTCGGCTTCGTATACGAGCAGTGTTATCGATCGAATTTGCAAATTTAAAATTTCGATATTTAAACATAATGGAGTATGCCTCATTTTTTTGTAATTGATAAATTCGTCCTTCTGATTTTCAGCCTTTATTTGATCAATTTTAAAACAATTGTACTTTCATTTTCATCATTTTTTTTCCTATACTTTCATACTTTTCTGTTTAATTTTTAACTTAGCATGAAAACGCAATGATTAAATTGTTATTGCAGTTATGTGGATGCACCTGTGCGTTTCGTAGGATGCGATCATCGTTTATGTGCAAATGATGATAGTTTTGGCGGTAATGAACGATTTTATGAACCGTCATTTCCACGTGTCGATGCTGAATGTGAACAAAAGATTAGAAGTTTTGACGTATTTAGCTTGGAATATTTAATTGCTGCATTACTTTCACGTGGTGCTGTTGTAAAAGATCAAATTTTGGTAAATTTGCACTTAATTAATGAATCTAACTCAATCAACAGTTTAATTAAAAGTTGAAAAGGATAGTATGAAAAAGTATCGATGACAAGAAAGTTTCTTTTTAGTCCTAGAATTTCCATTTAGAAATTTTTTTTTTTTTTTGATATATAACGATGTGCATTCCAGTGCAAGGGATAAAATGTCGAGAATAATTGAAATTGTGATGATATTTTGGTAGATCAATTATAGTCTTCAAGTTTTTTAAATGCATTTTGCGTTACACTATTATGCATGCAATTGTATGCATGCATAATAACATGCACGTATAATGTATACATTTTGTTTTATATTCGAAAGATTCTAACATTATACAGCAGTTTTAACAATTTAGTAGCAAGCTCCATTACTTGAATAATTGAAATCCTCAATTAACATGAACTAAGTTAAGAATACAATCCTGGAATGTAATTCCTTACAGACAATCAAATAACATTCATTGGATTACATACGATTTTTTCTTTTGTCTTTTAAACCGTTTTTCGAACGTTTTCAGATAGATAAAAGAAGCCGTGACGCCTTTATTGATTTGGTTGTGGAAAGGTTTAGAAATAATGAAGAGGTATGAACAAATTTCTTGTTTAAAAATTTTCAAGTATTGTTATAATTTGTTCAATTGAGGAATTTTACGATAACAAATTAAGGTAGCAAACAAATTTTGTTATTTCAGTTAAATCAAATTTGATGTAAAACATTCCTTAAAGTTGGTGTATTAACTTTTTCTTCGTCAAAGTAATATAAAATATTGATAAGGTTTTTATAAGAGAATGAAAGAATGAAACGAGTTTTTTATTATCGATTTATATTATCAAAAAAAGATAATTTAGATTATCTCTTTGTATAATTATTCTTATTTGCTGCAGATAACATTAGAAGCATTGGAACGATTGCTAAATATGATTGATGAGACGAAACAAGTGCCATGTTTATTTACATCATTTGAGAAGATTCGAAATAGTCTATTAGGACAAAAAGATGTTTTGGAAGAAATTTACCAGGAAAATAAGCGAGAAGGTTATCAACGTGTACGAAAGGTTAACTTTTGACGGTTTGTTACACTATCGGCAAGAGACATTTCTGTTGCTTCTTACTTATAACAAATTTAAGAACTTTGCACATTTCAAATTATTGGATCGTAATGTCTAGCATGAAATATGTCACATAAATTATGTTCAAATATTTGTTTTATTTTTTTAATAAGAATAAAATTTCAGGTAGTGATAACGCCTACTCGTGTATTACTTGTTGTACCCGAATTATTAATGGGAAACCGAGTACTTCGAATGTTTGATAAAGATGGAAATGGTGCATTACGGATACAATTTCGAGATGATGATGGTACACCGTTAAGATTAAATACTGTTGGTCTCTTCCTGATACAAACAACAACTTTTAATACACTTTCACGAGGGATTTATATTGGAAGTACTTTTTTTGTTTTTATTTTTCCTCGTAACGAGAAAAGGCAAAAAGTTGGCATTTTTTTATATGACTAAACTAAAAATTGTTCATTTAAATATTTTGGGATATTTTCTGGAAATAAAGATAAATTTAGTTCAAATTTGAATTTGATATAAGGTATGTGTAATATTTTACATCATTATATTTGAAGTTAGTTATATAACTACTTGTGTTACTTATATTTATTAATATTGTTGATAAAGTTTAAATTTTTAAGACTAATCTGTTATTTCTCATCTTTTTCAACACTGAAGTGTTACTTTCTAACGTACGACTGGCATCTTTCTCATTTTCTTTTCAATAAAATTATTAAACACATAATTTTATTATCAAAGTCATTTCATACGATCATATCTCTTCAGGAACTAACAGCAACTTTATATGGTTATTTAAGATCGGCACTTCGTTTATCTCGGATCATCAAATTCACAAATGCGAGATAATGGTTGTTACTTTTATGATGATGGAAAAGGTGGAGAAGCCCATAAAATTCGTGAACAGCTAGGAAAGTTTGATCGTTGTAATATACCAAAAATGATGTCAAGAATGGGACAATGTTTTACGCAAGCAAAGGTATGATTTATTATTTCCATGCAACTAAATACTTGATTTCAAGTTGATTATAAATGTAGCAGAAATAGGATAATATATTAATTTTATTAAAGCTAAAAGATTGCTTACGCATTGCGACATTATATTTCGACATTACAAAAGATGTAATCAAATAGATGACTACAATAACTGTGTGTAAATCCATTTATCGTGGGACATACATTTCCATTTCATTATCTACTATTGTTTCAACGAAATCAATTAAATATTTATCTTTGTTTATTTCTTCACTATATCATTTTCTAATTATGAATTACTACTTCTTTCATGATCAGTTATTGTTGTTGTTTTCTTCAGCAATGTATGGTAACATTAAAGCGTTACAAATATAACAAAACCTATGATATCATTGGTGGACGAGATACGAATCAAGCTTCTTATATATTTTCGGATGGTGTTGGGAAAGTATCAAAAGAGTTTGCTGAAAAAATAGCTTTAGATATCGAACTGGGTGCATCAGTTCCTAGTTGTTATCAGGTTTACTTTGATATAATCACTATAGCAATTTCTACATTTCACTTCATTCTTCTTGATAATATGTTATCAGTGAATGATACAACAAATCAGAATATGTTAAGCATTTTATTCTCAATTTCAGATTTAATTTTTTTAATATTTCAGATTCGCCATCGTGGCATTAAGGGTGTTCTATCTGTAGATCCTAGTTTGGATCAACGTAAACGCTGGGCTGCTCTTAATGATATAACTGATGAAAACAAAATTACGAATAAGCAAAATGATTTAGCTGTTGTATTTCGTCCATCTCAGGTAATCCATTATGTAGTTTTCATTTGTTTCATAATTTCTTTTTGTCCTCCCTAATAACTTTTAACCCACTTTTAATAAATGTTATTTCATCCAATTTTAACGAAATTACGTTTATTTAATACAGGACAAATTCAAAGCACCGCGAGATGAATACATTGAAATTGTGAAATATTCGACACCTACGCCGGTTTGTCTCAATCGTCCAATGATATCTATTTTGGACCAGGTAGTTATGGAACAAATATTAAAGTATAATTATCAGCAAAAAATAAATATTACTGCTGATGGATTTATTTTATGTAATATCGTCAAGACTTTAAGAATTGAACAAAGCATAAAATTTTGCAATATTAAGCATGTATTGAGAATTTTTAGCAGTAAGCGCTAAGAAAACAGTTGAAATTTATAGGTTAATCAGCCAAAGTAAATCATTTAATATTTAGCACGATTGAAATGCGTTCATTATTAAGGAATTATGTAATTTAATTTAAAATGCGATAGAGCTTTTATTAAGCTAATAAATTAAATCGTTAAGTGTTTAAAACAAGCACTTAAGCATTACCGTCCATAATTCATAGAAAAGCATTTGCAGTTTTGATCATTAATAATGATGTAAGGTTGTGCAATTGCGTTACTTCTGTTAGAAATATCAAACTGAATAGTATTTTATTTGATAAATAAGGCATTCTAAGGAGTAATGCAAAATAACTTTCAGATATCAATTTAGATTAAATGAACTTATGCAAAATTGCTGGAACTTTTTTTTACAAAGAAGATTAATATTTTTTGATATTAACAAATAACATTATATGGATTTAGAGATATTGTATTAATGAAATAGTACAAAAAAATATTAAACTTATTTTTTCAGGTTAGTGGAATGCAAGGTTTTTCCGTACATAAACGAATTAGAAAACGTATACATGACTTATTGGATACGCAAATGATACAATTGGCTGAGATGCTAATGAGCGAAGAAAAGTTTGTCACTTATTATTCATTTTCGTGATTATTTTCAGTGGCAGAAAATTACTGAAGTATTTGATGTTGACAAAAAGTTAAATTATCTTCATGTCTGTTGTTAACTTGCCAAACCAAAGATTGGGCATAAATGTAACGTTAATGGAAAAAAGTTTTGCTGTTAATATATTGTTAAACGAATAATTTTTTTCTTTTTAATTTTCTTCAGGTGTCGTGAAAAACTTAATGAATTACCATGGCGTATCAATGTTTCACGTCTAACACTTGCACGTGGTTTTGCTTTAACACAAGAACCGTTTTTTCGAAGCCTACTGAGAGCAAACATCAAGTGCACACTAAGTATGTCCATTAGGTTAATTACAAACTTTTCAATCACTTGATGTATTTTTGGAAATTTTGGCACTATTTTAGGAAAATTGACCGCTAAGATACAAATTCAAGTACCATCACATCTTGGCCGTTCGATGTTCGGTATAATGGATGAAACGGGTCAGTTGCAATGGGGTCAAGTTTTTGTGCAGTGCACTAGAAACATCTGGCTTAAAACGCCATCCGAATCTGCTGCAAAAGATATCTTAAGCGGTATGAAAATATATTGTGGCATGAATATTGTATTGTGAGATTTTACTCTTCTATGGAAGATATTTGCTGTGTTTTAGTTATTTTCTTGCACTATCATCTTTCTCAGGTAAAGTGATGATAACAAAAAATCCTTGCATCGTTGCTGGCGATGTACGGGTATTTCAAGCAGTTGATGTTCCTGAATTGCATCATTTAGTAGACGTTGTTGTTTTCCCGCAGCATGGACCAAGACCGCATCCCGATGAGATGGCTGGTTTGTTGTTTTAATTCGATAATTTTAAAAAACTAATTGGCCGTTTATGATAACATATTATTTCTATGATAATTGTCATAATTCAGGTTCGGACTTAGATGGCGATGAATATTCAGTAATATGGGATCCGGAACTGATGTTTGAACATAATGAACCGCCGTTAGATTTCACAAAAAGCACCCTAAGCAATGAAATCGTCCATGAAGAACAAGTGGTTTGTGTATTTTTTTGATATCCGACTAATCACGAAGTGATTTTCCTGTTATTAGTTAATACTAGTTGCTATCAAAAATAATGACTTTTATCTATTAAATGAGTTTATGACTTCAAAAGAATTGCTTAAAGATTTTTCTTTCAAGGATTTAGAGATGCGAAAGTTCTTTGTTAATTATATCAAGCAGGATTCAATTGGTTCAATTTCGAATGCTTTCTTAGTTAATGCTGATCTTTATGGTATCACAAGTGAGGTATAAATTGGTCTGAGATTTGTCCTATTTCTTATCCATATAAACAAATCTCTTATTCATATAAACAAGAATGATGGAATAATTTGAGAGATAAATACTTTTTAGCGCTGTTTTAACAAAACTGTATTTTTTTGCATAATTATTTCGATTTTACAATTCTTTTTTATTTTGACAGATTTTTTCTATGTAGCTTATTTTTAAATCATAAAAATATCTTCATAGAAATTTGATAATTATAAACAGTTTGAATTTTAAAATTAAGTTTTGGTATGCAATATGTGTGCACATATATCATCCAAATAAGGCTATAAAAATCTATAATTTTTTAAAGCGAAAATAATTGTTTTCCTTATAGGTTTGCATTAATATAGCAAAAAAGCATTCGAAAGCTGTAGATTTCCCGAAAACTGGTAACGCACCTACTCCATTAACAAGGCAATGGACATTGGGTAAAGATGGAAATATGCTTCCACCGGAAAGAGCCGAACGTTGGCCGGATTTCATGCGTAAAAACCATGAACCGAGTTACATTTCATCGCGTTTGGTTGGACAATTATATAGGTTTGTTTAATAATTATTAACTCTAACAGAGCTTAATTCGTAAATTTTCATTACTTTTATGTTTAGTTATTTTAAACACATTTTTTAGGTTGTAGTTTCCAATAAATTGTAGTGATTTCAGTTTAGACTATATATGATTGTTACTTAAGAAGCTAAACTTTTACAGTATACGGTATTTTGCAGACGTATCAGACTTCTAGATGATGCTTTAAATTTGACGACTGCTGTGGAAGAAAATGTCCCGGTAACATTGGATCGAGATTTGGAGTATCCTGATTGGGAACAATACGAGGATGTTGCTCAAAAAGAGCTTGATTTCTACCATTCACATATTAGGGTTAAAATTTTGAAAATAATCAGTAGAAATATTTTTTACAGGCGCTTTCTTTATCTTTTAGACTTCCAGATTGATACATGTTTATAGTTAAAGTATGTATAATTCTAAAGTATCTGTTATTATCATCTAACATTATACTTTATATATTTGATTAATTTATTATGAGTAATGATTGCAGTCAATAATGGAAAATTATGGCATTGAAGATGAAGGACAATTATTTTCCGGTTTTATTAGCGTTATTCGAAATCGAATCAGTAATCGTGATACGGATGACATGTCTTTCTATAACACAAATCATATAATCGAGAAGAAAGTTTCGGCTGTTTTCAGAGCGTAATTTTTCTAGAACTTCGAATTTCTTTTAGGTTTTTCTACATTTTAAAATTTATGATTCTTAAAGAAACTGAAATGAACCTTATTATTGTCAGATGATTGGTGCTTAATTAATAGCCTCGGAATATTTCGATAAGTAAATCTTTTAAATTTCAACTAGTTAAAAATCAGCAACGGTTACATTGATTAATAATTCCCTTGACAATTTTGATTTTTTTATATTTTGAGTCTAGATTTCGTCATCGTTTCTTTGATGAATTTGGTGGATTTTTGGAAAATACATTTTCCGATCATGAAGATAATCAAAATGGTAATGCGCAAGAGCGACGTATTTGTATTTATCCAACTTCGAGTATGAAACAAAAAGCATCAGCATATTACATTCTCTGTTATCGTAAGTTTCATGTCTTTGCTTTCCTTTTTATGAACTGTCATCAATTTTGAAATTGTACTGTAAATCAAATGAAGTAATTTCCCAGTATATATACCTCTCGAAAATTCCTTTGATATATTACAATAGGATGGTCCCTATATATATAATAGTCTATATAACGAGGCCTTGGATTGGATGTCTTAATTTCGCAATTCTACTAGGTTAATTAAAACCATCAAACAACAGCATTATTACTTATTGAGTCTGGAGCAATTTAAGCAGTTGGCATTTTCAAGCTATTAAGTGAACTTAATTATCTTATTTTTATAGTAAGAAAATACTAAATTATTTGCATTATGGTAAATATCATGATAAATGCAAGAACTATTGTTATCCATCATAGTAAAGATATTGATATGCCATTATCATTAACTATAATCATTATTCTGATATCAGCTGTTACTAGTGTCTACTATTATTATCACTACTTCACGCCACTACAATAGGGAGTGCATCGATGGATACATCGTATCGGATTTTGTCATTTAGTTGGCTTGTTTGGGATATCTTATGTCAGGTCAAACAAGAAGTAAGATTGGCACGTGGCAACTTAATTGTGCAATCATTGGATCCATTGAGTGAAAGCACATCTGAGGTCAATTTAATTTCTATAATTATCAAATTTAAGTCTTCTCGAATGCAAAATTGAGATTTTTTTTAATTAAAAGACAGTTGCAGTTCATCAAGAATTACTGTATAGCAAATGCAGATGACCTGAAGTGGACTATGTCATGTATAATAAAAACAAAACAAACTTCATGTATTCTTGAGCCATACTGTAGCCGTTACAAAGGTATATTTGATATTATTACATTACCAAGAATTAAATCAAGTTGAATTTAAAATTAATTTAGATAGCATCTACTTGCTCTTAAACGTTACAAGGAAATGAAGAAAGTCAAATCTCTTATTTTTTTTTTTGTCTATTTTGTCGCATATCAATAATGTAAACAAACATATTCAGGTCTTGAAGATTTATTTTATATTCTCATTAAATGGGCTACATTCCATGGATTATTAAAGGAACAACTTAAAGCTATTCATATTTGCCTTTTGTTCATACAGTTTGGCCTTGGATATTATACCAATTGCAGAAGTACCTTGCACGTACAATTTTTAGAAGAGGTGAAGTGAATTATAACTTTAACAAGATTGAAAATTCTTTGAAATTTTTCGGTCATTTGTATGCCCAAAATAAATTTCTCCAGTCAGTAATTAATTCAGTTTTTCCTATATTTCCCCAATTAGTGATTACCTCAATTTTCAGACAAAGGAAATTATTGACACAAATCATGTGGCATGCGATTTATATAATTTTGTTGGTGGTATTGGTTTATATTTGTTAAAATTTTTCAAATTCCTTAGTTCACGTACTATGCGAACATTAAAAATGTTAAGCTTTCGAAATATTGGATATAGTTCGTTACTAATGCGAGGGCAATGGATAAAGCTGAATGAAGTATAATTTTTACCAATATCAAAATATATATCCATTACTTTTCGTTTCTTTCGATGTTATCTATTACTTTTCGTTTCTTTCGATGTTATCCGTGATAGTAATATGAAAAGAGTGTAGCATTTCTATCTTTACGGAATATTTTTGTCAATCAAAATTTTCTTTTTAATAAGTATTCTCTTTTTTTGAAATTATTTGTAAAGTTTTGTAAATAATAGTTCTTATCCAAAATTTTTTAAAATACCACATTGTATAACATAATATATCATTCTATTTCGTGTTCCATATTATTTTTTGTTTTCAGGTTGCTTTGAAAACTATTTTTGGTATAGCTTTGACAGGAAAATTTGATGAGATAACATTGATCGGTACGGGACACGGAAATGATTCATTCAATCACGAAATTGTAAGTTGATATATAAATTAATCTTGTTTAATGTTTTATTTCTGCTGATTGGGAAAAGAAATTATTTTCCAATAAACTTATATGTGATCGTCTAAAATTATACTGCAATATGAAACTCTTTCCTTTTCAGTTTGGAACAATGGAAGTTGAACCATTTATGATCGAATTACCTATTGAATCACCAGCGCATTTCGATACATTCTGCCAAAAAGTCCATAAGCATTCTGGTGTGAAATACTTGCAAATGAGACAAGTTGCACATCGAAAAAAAGGTCTGCCTACCTATCAATTGCAATTATTCCTCCATATTTAATAAACTGATGCTTTACTTCACTCATTGAATTGGTTATTATCTAAGAATTATTTTTAGTTTTTTCGTTGTTATATATATTTGGTTAATTTCAAATTGAATTAAATATTTTACCAGCAATGATGGTATCATTAATTTAGTCCTCAGATTTAACCTTTTTTTTCACCCAATTTATCAGTATTTTTTACTTAGATTTAATTTAAGTTTAATAATCTTAGGAGATGAATGAATTATGTAAATTTCCAGATCGTGTTATTGTATCGGCAGTTGGTACGTTAGAATCATTGCATCGTTTGCGTGATTTGCTTTCAGTACGACCATCTGTAAATTCATTTGCAAATTGCAAAGAGAATAGTGATATTATTAGTCGGATTATTGTGGAACGATTCGAAAAATTGGATTAGTTAATTTAAGGAAAATTATTAAAATCCATAAAGCAAAGTATTTCTGCACATAAATCTTCCTTTTCATTTCGGAGATGTTAATGATTTCTAATTATGAGCTTTCAGGATTGCTAGTCATATAGTAAATAGTAGTTCCTTAAAATATTTTATTACGATTCAATGCCATTATTATTCTGATTTAAAAAAAAAAGGTTATAAATTTTTATGATACTCCTTGTATTTTCCTTATATTATTGAAGATATGAACTATCTTTTAAGATTTATAGTTGGAATCTTTCTTCTTAAACTTGTTGCTTTATTCAGGTTTAGTGCTCAGAGCAGAAAATTGTTGTTATATATTTATATAAAGATGCTAAAGAGAAAAGCCATAAATTTTTTTGTTCAAATGTTCAAAGTACAGAGTAATACTTTCTGTTCTTACCATTTTTGCGAAGTAATAATTATGTATTTTCTTCACGTAATCAAGCAGTGTTATTATCAATCGATTTATTATGAAATAGAATTAGGGGAAGAAATCAATCTTGTTATTGATTTTATTATGTAAATTATGAAAATTTATATAGCTTTTATGCAAAAATTATGTAAAATATTTATTGATGGTTTCTAAAGGAACAATTAAAAAATCATAAATTCTTTTGCCGTAAAAATTAGAGAATGAAAGAATGAAATCATTTGAATGGTTGATTTCTTCAAATTAGATTTAGTATTATTCTGTTGCAGTATGAATTAGAAGCTTTTATCATCGCTATTTTTTATTTACTATATAGTGAATAGTCTTATAATGTTACAGAATAATGTATTGTTGAATTCTCTTATGATATTTGTTTATGCGTCGAAATGAATGAATGAGAAACAGAAGGAGAAAAAGTAAAAGTACTTTGTTTAATTATAATTATTATAGTTAGTTCGTATAGTTTATTGTACTCTTTGTAATTCCTACTTAGCATTATTATTTTTTGCGATGAAATTTTTTTAAAAATTCTTTGCATGAATTTTTATGAAGTTTGTTGTCTGTTGACATTAATCATATAATATCAGGGATTTATTGATGCAATTGAATTTTAAATGATCAATAATGCATATCTTTCTTTCATTACAATATCACGATGATCTTTTATTCAGTCTTTCAATTTCTGTATATAATTTCATAAATGATTATTATAAATCCAATTTTACATTCACATCTGAAAATATATTACTGATAAAAAGTTTCAAATAATTTGTGTGAGAATTAACTTTATGAAATATACATTTCTATATTTTGTTCTAATTATCATTTAATCAATTCAAGTAGATTTATTAACATTTGCTGTATAACATATAAACATCGAATTATTCATATTCAATAAAACCGTTTGCAATCATATATCACAATTTTTCGAATTTGTCGGGAAAGATTTAAATCATCAAGATTTCAAAAAAAATAATCATAATCTTACTTATCATTCGCTATCCTGCTTGCTTTATTAACCACAGTTTAGATTTGATGATTCAAAACAAGTTAATATCAATCAAAATGAACAAGTGATTTTCGGTTTATGATGCAATGATTCTCTCATCTCATTATGATTTTAATCTGATTTTACCAGGGTTTATGTTTCCCTTTTTTAGTTTTGCAATTTTAATAATCAAAATGAGATTACTTTGAAATTTTAAACTTTACAATGATCATATTAAAAGTACCGTCGAAAATGATCAAAGCGTTGAAACGAAAACTGCAATACATGTATATAATGATCGTGCTAAAAATACTATCGAAAAGAAGGCAACAAATCGGACAATGCAAATAGAATGAATGCTACGAACGGCATAGGTATCAGAAACTTAACCTGTAAAATAATTTCAAAAAATTAAAGTGTATTGTTAAAATTTCAATAAAATATTTCACTGTAAAGATATTTTACATGCATATGATATTAACATAAAAATGTCTATCTATCCATTTCACTAACATTTACATTTCCAATAAAATGTTTCGCTGTTGATGATCGTTTGCATTTTACATCAAACATAATATCATCACTAAAATGATTATATACTGTTCCAGGCTTTACGAATATTTGTTTCCCTTTTTTTACATCTTCCGTAAAAATTTTGAAAGATTCAATCATACAATAAATTCACCAAATTTTATTTCAAAATTGCAAATTATACCTTTAAAATTCAAAACCAAAAAAGAATTGGAAATGCATGATTGAATAATATACAAAAGTTATGCAAGGAAATTCCTATAAATGTTGAATGAATTTAAAAATCTGCGGAGAATCAGCAAAATTTTTATTTAAAATTAGCATTAGAACTGAAAAGCTGTTCCTAACATTTCGTATTATTTTGATAAATAATCATTTAATCATTTTCATCTATTAATTAATTTATTGTTTTCAATTGTTGTTAATTTGTTAAATGATAGAAATTTATATTTGTAATTAATATTTCGAATCATTTCTTCTTTATCAATCAATAAGCTTATATTAATACTCTAAATAAAAAATGAAATGTAACTTTAAATTTTTGTTTAATTGAAAAATTATTTTAAATAAAAAATTTTCTCCCTAAAATAATTTATAACCCATAATTTTATCCAATTTTCTAATTTATATATCTACTTTATAATTTTCAGCTGTCAGAAGATGATTGGAGAAATTTCATCCAAAAAATTATTGACCATTGATAAATTAATACAACTTGGGCGTTATACTATTTTCTTATGTATTACTGCCGAATTTTTGATTCTTTCACAACTTAGCAATATGTTCTTTATGGTTTACGCTGGTATGATATAATTATCGTAATATATGTTTTGAATTAAATTAAATATTAAATATGAAAGACTTCATTGTTTCATTGATTAGTAAATAATATCTTTTAAAAAATTTGTTGCAAATTTTTAATCTATGAAATATTTCAAATTAGAAGTATGAAATGATTTCGAAAATGAAACATAGCAATCACAAATTAATGCAAAAATTTTGGAAAACTTTTTTTTCAATTCCATTCTTTTGTTTTTGATATAAATAGTAATTAGCAATTTGCATTACNTTCTAATTTGAAATATTTCATAGATTAAAAATTTGCAACAAATTTTTTAAAAGATATTATTTACTAATCAATGAAACAATGAAGTCTTTCATATTTAATATTTAATTTAATTCAAAACATATATTACAATAATTATATCATACCAGCGTAAACCATAAAGAACATATTGCCAAGTTGTGAAAGAATCAAAAATTCGGCAGTAATACATAAGAAAATAGTATAACGTCCAAGTTGTATTAATCTATCAATGGTCAATAATTTTTTGGATGAAATTTCTCCAATCATCTTCTGACAGCTAAAATTAGTTAATAGATATATAAATTAGAAAATAAATATTAAATTTTCAAATTTTAAAATTCAACATTTACCAGCTAATGTTAAGTAAAATTATGGGTTATAAATAATTTTGGAACGAAAGTCCTATTAAAAATAATTTTTCCATTTACATATTAAATTCGTTTTAAGCTTAATTTTATTTCTTCTCATTTCTGCAAACTGTTGAATTATCAAATTTTAAAATTAATTATTTATTTCCAATTTATAATTTAGTATTAAATACATATATCAGTAAGCATAGAATTAATTATAATAATGCAGCATTAAAGATATATAGTTTAATTTCTATAATTTTACTATTCACATAATAAAATTTTATTTCACTTCAATTATTTTTCTTTCCTTTATTTTTGAATTTTTCTTTTCCAATAAATTACTTCACAAAATCAATAATTTATTACGATTGAAGAAGAAAAATTGATTACATCAATTTATCATACCATTACAATTTGTTGTAAAATATTGCTTATAGCAAATTGATTGATTTATGAAATTGATTATTAACAATTTGATGACAGTCGTATGATTGCATGCTAACAAAAAAAAAAACGTAATATTTCAATTATATTGTTTAGAAATCTTTTGTTTTACACAAATGCTAGTGATGAAATGCTGCTACTAAGCAATGGTTATTATTTGGCAATAATATTTGATTTCGAAATTTATTAATTTTCAAATATTAAACAATTAATTTAAATTAATCAATTAAAAAAAATTAAAAAATTTAAATTAAAATTTAAATTAAAAGAATTTATTGATTGTAAGATTTTTTTTTTTGGCTACAAATGAAATTAGAATATATTATAGCTAAAAGGTGTAAATTAAGATTTTCCACAAAAATAAAATACCAAAAGAAGTTTTGATTTATTTGTCAATTAAACAAAAACTTAAAATTACATCCCTTTTTTATTTCAAATTATAGTACTGATTGACAAAGAAGAAATTATTTGAAATATTAATTACAAATATAAATTTCTATTGTTTAACAAATTAACAACAATTGAAAACAATAAACTAATTAATAGATGAAAATGATTAAATGATTAATTATCAAAATAATAACGAAAAGTTAGGAACACTTTTTCAGTTTTAACACTCTAACAATCTAACACTTCTTCAAGTTTTAATTTTAAATAAAAATAGTAGATGAAATTTGCTGATTTTCCGCAAAATTTCATTTCATTCAACATTTATGAAAACTTGTTTGCATAAACTTTTATATGTTATTATTCAACGCTCATTTTAAATTACAAATGCATTTTAAATACAAATTCTGGTTAATTGAATTTCAAAAATATCAATTTGTAATTTTGGAATAAGATTTGATGAATTTTTTTAGGATCAAATCTCTCTTCAACAATTTTATGGAAAATGTAAGAATGGGAAAAAATATTCGTAAAAATCTGGAACAGTACATAACCATATTCAATAATGATATTAAATGAATGTAAAACGACAAACGACCACTTAGAACGAAACATTTTATTGTAAATATAAAATGTCTATGAAATGGATAGATCGGCACGAAAAGTTATGTATTATTTAATGTTAATGTCATATGCATGTAAATATCTTTACAGTGAAATATTTTATTGAAAGTTTAACAAATCATACATTTTAATTTT